AAAAAAAAAAAAATATAGAATAAATTATTACAAGATGTAGAACTAATTAAACGTTATATGAAAAGAGAATATGTACGTGAAATTAGCGTTGAAAGTAATGGTCATGCTGAACATGATGAATGTATTGATCACTGCTTACCTTATGCATTTGGTGAATGTAATAAGATGCATAGTATAAGGTGTTCGCATTGTCCAAAACTTTATTCATTTTTTGATAAATTGGAATCAATTCTTCCAGCTGAAGAAATACAACTTATAGACGATAAAAAAAAAAAATTACTTCATTATTTGGCACATCAAACGCGAAAAGTATATCTTAATGCACAGGTTCAAGTAAATTTATTAGAATTAGATAATGATGGGGCTATACTTAATTGTTGACTATAAGATGCGTATCTTACCAAAATCAGCACAAGAATCCAAGTCTGAATTTTTTGGAAAAAAGGGTTGGACTTTACATTCTATATTGATGTATACCAAATCGGAAAATGAAAAACTAAATGTGGCCGCATTTGACCACTGGTCAGCAGATACAAGACAGGACGCATGGTTTACTGCTTCTTCACTTCACGCAGTATTTGAAGTTATGTACAATAAGCCAAAATGGGTTACATTAATCTCAGATAATGGACCTCATTACCACAACAGTGAAATGATGATTATAATGGCATATTGGAAGGATTGGTACGATATTGAAGTAAAGAGTTGGATTTTTTTGGAGGCTGGAGAGGCAAAAACGGCTATAGATTCTCACCACGCACAGGTCAGATCTAATAAATACATAACAATCATTATTTTTTTAGAGTACTAAAAATGGTTCACATAGATTGCGCATTCCATTAAAAGATATTTTAGAATTGTTTTTGAAATTAGAGAAGGCAGTGATATAGAAAATTCAATCAAAGATCTATGTTGTACATCAGTAGGGGAAATAAATCCTAATCGTGAAAAAACTGATAAAAAGATAAAATCATTGGTTGGGATATCTAATATGAATGAATGGAAATGGCCAATCAATGGGCCATTTGCAGGGTCTATACAAGCACGTACCTTGCCAAATATAGGTAGTTTTACCAATTATTCTCCTATACAAACACGAAATTCATCAAAAATTGAAATAACGAAACCAAATCCAATGATTTCTACACCTTCTTTGCCAAAATCTTTGTGGACTATACCAGTGCCGAATTCTGGTGATTTTTTTCTAATTTGTTACTCTATAAACCCAATAATTGCTAAATTATTCAATTTTTAGATATCTCTTCTAAGCGTCTACGAATAAATACACCTAATTAAAATTTAGTGCAAATTAACAATGGAATTGTAGATACAGAAAATAATTTCAAGTAAGAAAACCAACCTTATTTTATATTACTTGTTTTTAAACTGAGTTATAAAATAATTAGATTGACTTCTGCTTATATTATAGTGTTAATGCAGAATTTCAACTTGCATCTGGATGGGCGTTAAAAGCAAATCAAAAGTTTGGAAAAATATGTTGAGCAAGAATTTCAAAAAAGGTTATTGCATTATTGCAAGGTTTTTTTCATGCATGTAATGCTGATAAAAGTGATCGATACTCAGCTAATGATATGTTATCAGAACTTATCCATATGGCAAATAGTTTAGAGTTGGATCCTGAAATAATACCAAAAATAGAAACAATTGAAAATTGGATTAGTAGATATTCTGCAGCTTGTAAACGTGAAATGGCGGCTATAGCTTTAGAGCGTCAAGTGCAAAATCAGCCATAGTACTTACGTTAATAATACATAAGTTTTGAATAAAACAATATTTCAAAAATACAAATTTATATACAAAAAAATGGTTATAAACTTATAAATTATAAATAGAAGTTAAGTAAATTAATTTTCAGTTTATTCAGAGCGAAATTGTTAAAATATTATATATAGCGTCATTGCTGGAATCCACAGGTACCCCAAATAAAAACTTAAAAATGAACATATAAACAAAAAATATTTTTTTCGTCTAAAAATGATACACATTTCACAAACAACACATGTGATTTTTAGTACAATTGGATTATTCTAGAAAAATTTTTAATAGTATGGTATTTCTTGTATTTGACAATCATTTGCATCTATAAATAGTAAAATCCCCCGAAAATTAATTATAAAAATACTACACGTGATTGCCGAATTACGAATTAAGAGAAAAGTGGTTAAATCTAACGATGAAATCAATGAAGAAGAACAACAAACAAGCGGATCAACTTTATCAACAAAAAATTGTGGTAATTTTTAAATATTATATGAATTTTTTTTTGTAAATTAATCAATGAATTATATAATATTTTGAAATTATAGTATTATTACTGTAGAATGCCATTATTGGAATTTAACAGCTCAAATATAAAAAGTTTGGAAGAACTTAATAATGAACCTTCACAAAGTAAGTATAAATTATAATGCATTTTATAGATTCTTAACAAATAATTAACTAATAATTATATTATATATTGAAAGCAGTTGATAGAGTAATACAACAAAAAAGTGATGTAGAACAAGAAACTGATCAAGAAGTTTCACAAGTTAAAGATCATGGTAACAAGCATAAAGCAACACATAATAATGAAAAACAAAAAGAAACTTCTCAAGTAATACGTTCTAGTTGCAAGTGTAACGTAATACAACAAAAATGTGATTAAGAATGAGAAACTGATGAACATTAAGATGATCAAGAGGCTCCTCAAGTAAAACATTGTGGTCGCAAGCTTAAAACAACACAAAAATTACATAATATAAAAAGCAAGAAGAAATCCTTCAAGTAAGACGTTCTAATCGTAAATGTAATATAACACAACAAAAAAATGATGATAATAAACAAGAATATAATAAGAAGCAACGTAAAAAATAGTTTTATTAATTATTTTTAGTATAGTACTATATTATCAATATTTTATAGCAAAATTAATACATATTTAATATATTATTCTTACAAAAATCTAATAAATAATATACAAATTTATTTCAAATGCTAAATAAAAATTCTACATATTTATTACAAATTTCGTATAAATGGATGCTCATAATTGTATTAAATTCATTATACTAACATATTTTACATTTTTTATACAAAAACATGATAGAAACTTTTTACTGGGCTTTTTTACAGCCTTGTTAGGAGTAGAGCTCCGCAACCTGACCCGACAGATCGGGTGACCTGATGGGTTGACCCGAAATATTCAGGTCAGGTCATCAAATTCATGACCTGACACAAGTCGGGTCAGTGCTGGTCGGTACCCGACCCGACTCGTTGACCTGACATATATTTGGGTCAAATAAATTAAATAACGCCGAAACTTATAATAATTCTGGCATTTTTACATGTACAATCGAAAAAAAATGCCGTAACTATCAGTTTCGGCGTTTTTACATGTAAAATCAAAAAGAAGAACGCCGAAACTAATTATTCCGGCATTTTTACATGTAAAATCAAAAAGAAAAATGCCAGAACAAATTATTCTGGCGCTTTTACATGTAAAATTGAAAAAAAACGCTGAAACTATCAGTTTCGGCGTTTTTACATGCAAAATCAAAAAGAAAAATGCCGGAACTAATTATTCTGGCATTTTTACATGTAAAGTCGAAAAAAAAATGCTAAAACTATCAGTTTCAGCGTTTTTACATGTAAAATCAAAAGGAAAAACACTGAAATAAATAGTTTCGGCATTTCATATATAAAAACAAAAGTAAAAAACGTTACAAAATGTTTTTTTACAATATTTAATAATAAAACTTCGGGCAACCTGAGTTACCCAAAGTGACCTGAATACTTTCGGGTCAAATGGGTCAGATCGGGTCAGAACGGTTTACCCGACCCGACCTGACCTGAAAAAAAATTTCAGTTCGGGTTAACCAAGTAACCCGACCCGACCCGACCCGTGCGGAGCTCTAGTTAGGAGATATACCTATTAACCGAGTAGGAGTATTATTGTAAATATCATCATTTATACGAAGTCCTTTAATCTATACTCTGGATCTATCAGTTAAAGGCAAATGAAAATCTTCAGTATCTTGCCAAAAATAAGCATGTTTTTCAAATTCTTGATGGTCACGTTCAGCAATAGCTATATCACGTTTAGAGTTAGCATACTGAATTCTTACATTATAACTGGGTAATAAATCTCTACATTCGCCCATATATTCGGTACCTCTATCTACAATAAAAGTATTTGGATAGCTAAGAGGATTATTAGGATCATCATAGATTTTCTGAATTGCTCTGGCCATCTGTGTAGCTGTTTTATCAGTCAATGCAAAACTGCAACGATACCTAATTGCAATATCTTTGATAACGCCCCTATACTTATAAATCTGATTACTTACTTTATCATGAGGCATAGGAGTAGTATCACTCTGGTGTACTTCATTCAATGTTCGTATATTATTGAAAGAAGCGTATTGAATAAATTTTGGCCGAGGCTTGTGAATCTGATGTAAAGCCTGTTTGTTAAGCCAATTTTTTATAACAGCCAAAATAAACCCATATCTGGCTTTCTTACAAGCCATTTGCATTTTTTCAGCAGTCCGATAATATCCCTCAGGTCTGTAATAAAGTTTCTGTAAAGCAAGATCCCAATCTAAGTCTCAAGCTTTTTGAGGATCAATATAAATAACCAGGAAATCAAAGACTTTAAGCTTCATTTCCTCTCCCATTCCAATTTTTTATAATTATGAAAAAAAGTTAGTATTAATGAAGTCAGATTCTATTCATCAGCTGAGACACTTTTTTTCTTACATCTCTGCCTAGTCTCTTTAAGGTTTGTCACATGACTTCATATCACATCATGATTCTTAACATTTTTGATTAGCAAAATTTTGCTTATTTAATATATTTGTATAATATCTCCTTCTGCAGATTTAGTGGAATGTCAAACCTTGCAAGGGGATTATCTTCAGATGCAAAAGTATTGGACTTGATCCTCTAGATAATATAGATAATGAGTATGATATAACCTCCGATGTTGTATAGTATAGTGTCACATCGATAAGTATAGTAAGTATAATACTAACTATACTTGGTATAGATAAACCGCATGTTATACTTCGGACTTTTTAATGGTGGATATAAAAAATTTTTTTTATCGTATAGCTGATAGTAGGGCAAATTTAAATTTAAATTTTTACCATTTTAACTTGTAATAAACCGAAATCTGCCATTTCTCAATACTTAATTTACTCATTATAAATAAAAAAAACATTTACTTATTTATTTTATTTATGAAAAGCTTTCTTTTATTTTAAGATTTAAAAGTTATTTATTACAAAGGTGGAAGTTTATCTTTTGACCATCAGAAACATAATTAGATTTGTGATTTATTAGTGTTTTAAAGCAAAGTTTACATTGAATATATTAGTAAAACTTCTTTTTATCTTTCGAATATCTAATTTAGTGAAAATTCTGATGGATCTTTTTTTTGTAGTATGCCTTCTGGGACTTCTCAAAGGATTAAGAAATGAAATTAGCCTTTTATATTTATTTGTTTGTTTGTTTTTCATTATGGAATGTTTGTAAATTTATTTTAACTTTATTTCTTGCGATAGTGCTTTCAGAAAAATCTGAAAAAATGAACATCAATCATATGACAGATAACGTTCTAAATGGATCCCATAACAATAAAATCACAATATAGGTCATGATTTCAAACTTAAATCTGTTTTCTTTAACTCCTAAATATCTATTTTGTAGCCCGACCGACTCACTTTACTCCAAACTGATAATATCTCAAGAGTCAGAAGATATATTTTTTAATAATAAACGAATTTATAATAACATAATAAGGTATCTATTAACGATTTTTATTAATTTAAATGTACTGTGAGATCTGATATAATTACTTTTGAATTAAAGATATAATTGATTATGCATCAAAATTTCAAAATTTTAGATTTAAAAATCGATTTATTAAACTTTTAATAGGGTAATAATCCAAATATGTTCATTTATTAAATTATGTCTACTGATTAATGCCAGTAATTGCTATCTAATTTATTTATTAATACAATTATTTAATTAAAGTTAAATTCGTTAAATTCTCAGATTAAAGAAAAGGAAGATAATGTTTTATTTTGAAATGTGTTTAGTATATATTTATTAAGCAATGTTTGTTAATAAATAGAGAAATAAAATTTCCAAAAAGCTTTGTTATTTATTATTTAAATTAAAATTTTGCATCAGATATCACATCAGAAACTATCCTTTTTGGAAGAAGTAAAACAAAGGAAAAGAAAACTATATGAATCCACCCATATATTGTAATGTTAAAAGAAATTAATAATGTCATTAAATCTATACACTGCTATGAAAAATATATGATTATAACATACGGGCTTAATAGTATTTTTTAATTCAGGTTAAATTCCAATAATACCATCTGATTAGATTGATTAATTTTAATATATATGCAATATAAAATTCCAGATGAAAATACTGTAACTGTATAAATAAATTGAATTTGTATAAATGGCGTAATATTTATTAAATTTTACCCCTTTCATTTATCGAAAATCTCAAGATCTTTGATAAACATTACCAAATATATATTGTTGATTCCATAAATAAGAACCTGATTTAATTGTGCAACATTAATTTATATAAATCTGACAAAGTTTCAAAATTTATCTGACTTTTTTCAATTTTTTCTATATTAAAAAAGTTTGAGAAAAAAAGAAAAAAGGGGGAATAGGTATGTAATTATATATGAAAATTCATTATTGCTGTATTATTAATTATTGATATTTTTACTGATTAATTCAAATTATTACAGTTAATAAAGTTTCCCTTCAAGTAACTATAGATAGGAGTAATGTAAAATTATACTTCAGATGGAAGAATTTTTATGTTAATATGATATTTTTGGAAAAATAGATTGAAAAGATTTAGCTACAATCGGTGATTTATGCATAACAAATGAGTTTTATTCTAAAATTAGGTTCATATTTTTTTTTAAATATGGGTTATTAACAAATTTGATTATGAGTGATGATGATACCCTTTTTAAATCAAATTTACATGCGTAAAATGATACTTTATTATTGTAATCGCATCACATAAAATTTATTTTCTTTTCACCTTTTTTTCATACCCTTCAAAATACTTGTAAAAAAAACTTTTCTTTCAATAAAAAATGGAGGTAATTGAGATTATAGATGAGGAAATATATGATGTAAATAAGGATGCTCAGAATATTCAGGTAAAATTTAAAAAAGTTTTATTAAAATTATAGTTTAAACTAATCAAATTTTATTATATAGATGTTACCTACTAATATTGATTCTAGTAGTGAAAAAAAAAAACTCTTCCCTGTACCGTTCACGTCCATTTTTCACATAAGAAATAATACACTTTTTTCTCGTTAATTTACTAGAAAATTAGCACTTCAGTATTAAAACAAAAGTGTTCCTTGTTTCAACCAACACACTTTTGATTATCACTCTTTTCAGTTTGCAAAGGTTTATAAGGGCTTACTAGTCCTTTGTAGAAAAAAATTTGTGGTTTTCTTGCGAAGTTTTCTTCACAAGAAAGTGTAAATACAGTGCACCAATTAGATATAGGATGCCGAATAAAAAAATTTTAGTCGGCTATACTTTTTCCATCCAGAAAAAGTGAAACAGTACACGGGGTGGATACGATCTACTCCACCTGAAAAGGAAAGTCCTACATTCTTTTACATGTGGATTCGTTACAGAAAGAGAAAGATACATTGATGATTATTACCAATAATAGACAGATAGTAAAGAAATATGATAAGCCGTTTAAGATTAGTTCTGATAGGGCTATTATGAATACTAAATACAGGATTTCAAAATACTTGACAAGTGTATTTTGTGGGTTGCCTATTGATTTAAATGCTAGAAATAAGTATTTTTGTAGAATACGTCAATTATTATTAGATAAACTTGTAGCGATAGAAAATAGATTAAAGAAACAAGAAAAGAATAGACAGACTACAACTTATATTAAATTTAGTTATAGTAAATGAATATGGTATTTGGGGTTCTATATTTCATATTCATTTTGTAGTAATGTCTGTGCTTATGTAATGTCAAACAATAGGAAAGTATGTCAAAATTGTCGTTCAAAGGTGATAGTAACACCTACACCTTCCATGCCAAATACGTTTAAAAATTATTGTCAAAGTAAACAAATAGTAAGTAAACACATAGGCGTTGCTTATACAAAAAAGGTTTCAATAGATAGTGGTACAGGTAACTATTTAATTACATACTTGAATTTAGGTATTAACAAACAATTCAAAATGATAAAAGAACAAGAGAAGTATAAAAAGAGGTTTACGAATAGCCTCAAAAATAATAAAAATAAATGGAATTACATCACACATCAAATGACCAAAAACAGGCAAAAAAAATGGCTAGAATTGCATAAACTATTCGCAAATTTATATAAACTATTTACAAATAGTATAGGTTAATTCGCAAATAGCCAAAAACAGCCAAGAATAACCAAGAATAACCAAGAATAGCCACTGCTTTTTGCGCCATTTTTTTTTGCCGATTTTTAGCATTTCGACCTGTACACTAATAATGGATTTGAGTCAAAGCCAATAGTTTCCAAATATCGATTGAAACGAAGATGTGATATTCTTAAGAAACATTATATATCAAACAAGGAATTAGAGTTTCTGTTAGACCAAGTTACAAGTAGATCAGGATACAACATGTTGAAAGAAGATAATTTGAGAAAATATTCACTGTTGAAGGAATGGTTAATAAAAATAAGAAAGAAAAAAGAAGCTGCTTTTGAACGCAAAGGTATTAAGGTGGCAGAACAGTCGACCAGTGCTGGTAAGAATACTATGGTCGACAATATTACCACAAATTTTCAAGAGCTAGATATTAAAGAACAGGATAACATGCTTTCCTGGCAAGAAATATATACTACATAGAGAAACACCGATTACAAGGCCTGAATTTCATAGGGAGTTGAATAGTGTCAGAGATCTTAAAACTCTGTCGATATATCATAATGGAGTTAGAAACAAAAGACTTGTTTATAACTTGTCTTATAAGTATGTTATTGATCAGTGTAAAATAAGGGCTCGTAAGATAAAGAGCGCCTCGTGGTGTTAAGAAGGTATAAATAAGTAATTAGTTATTCTTGTTTTGTTTTTCTATTTTCTTTTGTGGGATGGCTAATTACAAAGAAACAAATTATCAAATGAGAAAAAATGAATAATTATTTTTGGATTTTAAATCATTCCTTATCTGATAATATTTACATAAGGCTATTAAGTTAGAAAGAAAAATATATAGACAGATTGTCTATTGAATTTATTTTGTAGTTTCACACCATTCCATATTTGATTATATTTACATATGGCAAATTTTATTTGAAAGAAAAATATATAGACTTCTTTTAGTAGTTTTAATGAATTAATTATATACTCGCTTCATCATTCTGTATTAGATAGTATGTACATACAGCTTTTTTAATAAAGAAAGAATCATTACATATATGCACGTTATTTATAACGTGTAGCGATTAAAAATTTTTTTAGCTAAAATTATACAGGAGTATTCAAGAGATGATATAGATACACAAGAATTAAAAATTAAAATTAATGAGCTTGGTATATGGGATATTGGATGTTTATATGATTTTACATTTTTAATGAAGAATCAAGTCAGTTGTCAGTTAATAGAATTATTAAAGTGCTATAAAATAATTGAAGAAAAATTGTTGTATAAGGTACTGAAACAAATAACTGGAAGAGTTTTATTAGAATTCAAAGTGCTTATTTGGGAACTAAGGAACGAGTTACAAATAAAGGAAGAAAAGCGGTGCGGTATTAGCGGTAAAGATAAAAAAGCTAAGTCACATAGTAAACGCACTGAAATGGGTGTTAAAGATGTTGGCTGTAAGATGTTAGAAAGTAATTGGAATAAATGGAATGATTTAGCATTCCATCAAGGCGGTTATTGGGCAAATTTTTAGGTAGATCATGACAGTTACCTTTGAATTTGAGGTTGCATCATGGTTTTTAACAATGATGTGATCGTTTAGGTAACAGGTCGACTTGTTCTTTATGAAAAGTAGTCTTGTTTCATAATGCTTAATTCTTATATGTATTTGTNATTAGAATTCAAAGTGCTTATTTGGGAACTAAGGAACGTTTTAAAAAAAAAAAAAAAAAAAATTGATTCTAGTAGTGATAATGAAAGTATAAAAGAGGCAGAAATGGCATATTTTACGAAAAATCTTGGTGTATTAACCATTATTTATTCAACTATACCTATAGAATATCCTGCAATGGTGTTGCAACAGTTTTTAGTATACAAGGATGGAAAAATCATATGGATGCATTTAATGACGTAAGTTAATACTTAAAACAGCTTATTTCTTTTTATTAATTAATTAATTAAAATGATTTTTACTTTTAGATACAGTATTCTATTGGTAGCGGTAGTGGCTCTCCTATTCAGAAGTGTCCTTTTTTTGGTAACATTTCTGTTACAAAATATGTAAGAGAATGCCAAGGAATCAAACATTGTTCTTTTGCTGATTTTGATCTTATAAATGCTAAACATTGTGAAGTAGACTTTGAATCTGATATTTTCAAACAAATTAATAAAAACAATAAAGAAAATAATAAAGAAAATTATACATATATGTAAGTAATTTTTAATTTAATTTTTAATTAATTAAACATAATTAATTAATAATTTCTTATTTAATTATAGTATATTTCTTGCTACTCAAGATTTACAATGTAAATTTAAGCAAAATGGTATCACTTGTTCTGGACAACCTAAACTTATACGATTATTGGAAAAAGAATCTTACAAATATCGTTGGATTATTGGATGTACTAACTATAAGCCTCAAGAGAAATGGCACAGATATAGGACCCCGAAATATATATGTAGAGGTCAGGTCCAGAAGTGGTCCAAAATACGCATTCTTTCAGGGCCGGAATTACGATAATTTCAGCCATTATCTAAATTAGGAAATATTATTTTGGCTGGGATTATCCATAAAAGGAATGATCTACATGATTTTTTTGACTCATTATACGCAAACTCTGACCTGACCCTTTTATGTATATTTCGGGGTCCTACAGATATATAGAGATTGATACTCAAAAAATTGATATTGATTTATTACGCAAATTATTCAATGGAGAGGCTATTGTAAGTATATATTATTGAATTTAATTTTTATCGTTATTATTTAATTAATTTTTTTATTTTTATTTAAAGACGGAAAGAAATGCAAACCAATGTTCTACTATTATTTCAAAAAGTTCTAGAACTAAAAAATGTGGTATGTTATTTGGTTAATTATATATTAATAATTAATTAATTAATACATATTATTTATTGTACCAATTCATATTTAAAGCTTATATTCACCATTGTGATGGTAGTGTTATGCAAGGTAAAATTGTAAATAAGCCATGTAACGTTAAAATGTACAAATTTATTCCTAATGATCTACAAGAATGTCTATTTGTTGCGCTTATATGTGTTGGTGTACATAATCACCCACCACCACCTCGCTCCTGAAAGAACTCTGGATAATATCAAAGATAATTTGCAAATGATGATTAAAGAAGCAATTGAAAAAGATGATGTAGTAACATCTGGATCAATAATTCAAGGTATTATTAAAATAATGAATTATAATTAAATTACTTGTTTTTAATATATAATCGCAAATAATTAATCAAAAATTGTAATTATTTTTAGGAAATATGCTAAAAGCATATTTCAATAAAGAAACTCTTCAAGAGATCCATATGTCATTAAATAATATTGATAAATTACGTTATTTAGTTGCAAAAACTTACAAGAATCTTTATCCTTTTGGACAACATATCTTAGGAGTCTTTTAAAGCGTATATAGTAAACAATTTGACCTTCACAATTATTGTTCATAAAATTGGTAAGCTTTTGATTTATTTGATTTAATTATCTTAGTTGTTATAATAGTTTAATTTAATAATTGATTTTCTTTAAATTTTTTTGGGAATGGACTTGTTCTTATTGTATGTATGCTTGAAAGACAAGCACAATTATTACAACATCTTGAATGTTTTCAGATTGATTTGTCCTTTAAACGTATTAAAGGGAATATTAATGAGTTTGAAATAAATTCATATGACGATTATCACAATCTAAGTAAGTAAACATCAAATATTTATTTTTTTTTAACAAAAAAAAAATAATAAAATTTATTAATATTATGTATTTCTATTTAGTTTTGTCTTATTGTCATATATATACAAATGTGAATTCCTCAGATAGATATTGCCGCTTATTTATAACTTTGTTTGATATTATCAAACAATTAACTGGAAAGCCCGTTTAAGTTAAGCATATTCATGGTAATGGATGGAGTTGTATTTTAGGAGATCTTGATATGGGGCAGATGAAAGGTTTGGGATTGGCACTACATAGTTTAGATACAACACGCGAATGGGAAGTTTACATTATGAATATCTTTAAGTCATGTCATGTACATTTTCAAAGGTAAAAATTTCAAAAATAATAATTATTATATTATTTATTTGTTTTTATTTAATTTTTGATTTTTTTTTGATTTTAGAAATGTGAATAATAAACGTTTTAGTGATCCGATTAAAAAAAGATGATTTCGTTACTAAAAGCAGAAAGCAAAGTGGAATTAAATCAAATTTTTTCAGATATTGAAAAATCTGATGAAGATGGCGTGAAAGGTATACTACTAAATATTTTTTTTAAAAAAAAATCTAATTTTTAATTTATTGTTTTTTAAAATTAGATTGGATTGACTATTATCAAAGACCTCACATTTTAGCAACAATTAATTCTTCAGCATCATTAATGGATGTTGAAATATGGAATCGGTATGGAAATAATACCAACACAGCAGAAGCTGCGCACTCTCTAGTTAATAGAACTGGAAAACAGCTAAAACTTTTATCAGCTATTTTACGGTTTGTATTTAAAATATATTTTATATAGAGGTAAAAATTAAATTTAATTATTAAATATTTTTTAAAATTTAGAGGTCAAAAATTAGATGAACGTCATTTAAAAATAATCGAAATTCAAGACTTTTCAGCTGTCCCTTATACAAAACAAGATAAAAGCCAAGTTAAAAGGCAACTGCTTGCAATAAATCGAAAAGGTAAACTTTTAGTTTGTAATTTAACATGTAAAGTTAAATAACTAATATAATTTAATTTACAGAAAAACGAAATCAAAAGAATAAAGAAGATAAAAATTCATTAAAAAGGAAATATGGCCAATCCAAAATCCAATCTATTGATGAAAATAATTATAAATTTGAAAGTGATAATTCATGATCAAAAAAGGTTGATATTGAAGAAAGACGGTTGCGTTTAGAGCTTGAAATAGAAGAACGAAAAATGAGTTTAAAAGAACGTGATATAGCTTTGCAAAAATCAGTGGCTGAAGTAGAGACTATTGAAATTGCTAATGAAAAAGCAAAATTAGCCTTAAAAAACAATTAGATTTATGTATCGATAATGAAATAAATAAACCAGTTTATAATTAGTAAATATTTTGATTTAATTAAATAATTTTTATTTAATTAAATAATTTTTATTTAATCCATTAAATAATAGTTATTGGTTAGGGGGGGTAAAATATCGTTCACCCCAAAGGGGTGATACAATATTTTATCCACTATAACCAATAACTAGATTATTGCCACCCCATTCAACCGATCAACAAAGGTTCTAACCTTACATTTCATGTCTCAAGTGTCTAGGTTATATCCTTCGTGGTCTGCCCATGGTTTTAACCCATGTCCGTGATATACTTTGACTTGTCATGCTGTGTCATAGAAACAAATCATGCTAATTAATTTAATCTAACAATATATGATTATACTCACTTATAGTCATATACGGACATTTATGTCCATGATATTTGTTGATAATGCTCCTTGTCAGATATAGCTGTGATATTTGTTGTCAATTGCTCATGATAATACTCCTTGTCAGGTACGGACATTTATGTCTGTGATATTTGTTGATGATGCTCCTTGTCAGATATGGCTGTGATATTTGTTGTCAATTGCTCATGATGATACTCCTTGTCAGGTACGGACATTTATGTCTGTGATATTTGTTGATGACGCTCCTTGTCAGATACGACCATGATATTTGTTGTCAATTGCTCATGATGATACTACTTGTCAGGTACGGACATTTATGTCCGTGATATTTGTTAATGATGCTCCTTGTCATATACGACCATGATATTTGTTGTCAATTGCTCATGATGATACTACTTGTCAGGTACGGACATTTATGTCCGTGATATTTGTTAATGATGCTCCTTGTCATATACGACCATGATATTTGTTGTCAATTGCTCATGATGATACTACTTGTCAGGTACGGACATTTATGTCCGTGATATTTGTTAATGATGCTCCTTGTCATATACGACCATGATATTTGTTGTCAATTGCTCATGATGATACTACTTGTCAGGTACGGACATTTATGTCCGTGATATTTGTTAATGATGCTCCTTGTCATATACGACCATGATATTTGTTGTCAATTGCTCATGATGATACTACTTGTCAGGTACGGACATTTATGTCCGTAATATTTGTTGATGATGCTCCTTGTCAGATACGACCATGATATTTGTTGTCAATTGCTTATGATGATATTCCTTGTCAGGTATGGACATTTATGTCCGTGATATTTGTTAATGATGCTCCTTGTCATATATGACCATGATATTTGTTGTCAATTGCTCATGATGATACTACTTGTCAGGTATAGACATTTATGTCTGTGATATTTATAATAACCTTTGTCAAGCACAGACATTTATGTCTGTGATATTTATGATAACCTTTGTCAAGCACAGATGTGATTTTTGTTATACTTATAATAATCTTTGTAAAGCACAGACATTTATGTCTGTAATATTTATTATGCTTATCCTTTGTCTTATGTTAGATAACCTTTGTCAAGCACAAACATTATTTATGTCCATGATTTTTGATTTTTTGCACCCATTCATCCAGTATTTTAATTATAAATAAGACAATTTTATAATTTTTGACTGCATATTCATTTACCAACTTCATTAATAAATATTTTATATCACCTTATAACTATAAAAAAGGCAATTTTTTTTTCAAGTTTTACACATTAATTTGGCCAGGTTTAAAATAATTTTGCACAGCAAAATTTGTCAGAATTATTTGGCCAGAATTATAATATAGATATAAATGTCCAGTTTGCAAATTTGGCCAGAATTATAAAATGGACATAAATGTCTGGTTTGCAAATTTGACTAGAATTATAAAAATGAACAGTTTTTGTAAATTTGGCCGGCATTATGAATATAGATATTTTAATCCTTATAGAAAGTTTTTGTGCTAAATTTATACCAAATGGACTCAGTTTAAAATTAGCTCAAATTTATGCAAAAAAATAATCCAAATTTAGTTTATAAGGTAACTTATCATAATCCAGTGATCATAGAAAAATAAATTATAGCTTGTTAGCTTTGT